TGATCGTCTTGGGAAATCCTCTTTTACTGTCCCTGCCGATCTTTCTATCTCTTTCTTCTCTTTTACCTAGGTATTTTACATGTGCTCTTTATACTCTGTACTAGTTATGCTGTTATGGCTGATCTAACCTTTTTTTTTTCCCTGAAGAATCCCCAGACTAGCGTTAATATGTAGCCTCAGGGGGCCAATGCCAAATCATCGAGGTTCCACTCTTGACATGTTGTGACAGTTCAAAGGTACTAACTGCTATGTATTATAGTGACTTCGAATGGGCATCGAGGGACATCTAGAGACATCCCAGCTAATCAGGCACCTACATGAAGGGAGAAAGTTTCCTCGGTTACCAAAAATAGCCAGCACCCGGAATGACGTTGGCATTCTCTATTGATGTCATTTTTCTATTCCTGGAATGTGTACGGAGTACACAACATACAATGATAATGATATCTTCTGACTGTTACTCTCGGCATCTCCAGATCTCACACGGTCCAGGGAGATCCGGAGTGACGGGCCCATCTGCCGAGAAGCACACAACTTCAGTTCCAGTCCCCGTGGATACCAATAGAAGGTTGGAATACAAGTGATCAATGAGCAGTGGCTGGATATGACCAATTCAAACGATAATTCGCTCTATTTGCATATAATACCTCGAATTTTTAATATTATGCCAACCTCTCTAAACAGTCCAGCCGGCATCTAGTATACGGAGACGTACTCAATACTCCGTACTCAGTAGATATCGAACATTCCACGGCTTGGAATGCAATCTCAGATGAGGTCATAACTTGAACAAAATATATCATTGAACCTGTATGCGCAGATGTTGCAAGAAACCACATATATTGTTCGGATTGGACGGTGAGTTAGACTATTCAACCCTAACTCCCTCAACGAGACATTTTAAGGATGACCGTGACCAGATCAGATCTGAACATACAATGTAGGAACCAGCCTGGACGGTATCAGAACATCACGTTGTACTGCTATGTGTCACACCTGCAGCCCTAGGGTTCAATGCAATTCCGGGATATACCCGGATGTGGACAGAGAGGCCCTGTTCTATTTAGTCCATAAACCAGGTATGATATAAGACAGTTCATATCTTTCACAAACAAAGCAAGGTAAGCTTCGAGTATTAGAACCCATCGGATATCTATAGACCTATCAATATAGGAGTCGTCGTAATTTACAAATGCCATATTCCAGAGTGGTGGCGAGCGAGTTCAACCCAGCGTGTGCTTTCAAGAAATTATGGAGAGCTGATGTCGGAGAGTGCAGCCTGCTACCTTACAATGCAAGTCGAAACCAAAATACGGCGTATATAAACTCGAAATATCATTCATTGGTTTTCCATTCATTACCGTATCATGGCCCAATTCGAGAACGGAACCCCTGTCATAAACGCCACACACATAAAATGCAACAAGATGGTATAAGACACAAAAGAAACCATGCAACTGGGGCACCCCAATTCTCCTCTTAGAAGGCTGTTCAATGCGCGGTGGACTGAGCCCGCGGCAGGTGAGGGTTTGAGACTGGGATGCCTGCACGGCGCTTGGATTGGGGCTTGGGTCTGGAGAGTGTATATCTGAGAGGTAGATATTAGTACAAGATTCCACTAGATTCAAAATTGAAAGAAACATACTTGGCAAACGCACGCGAAAGTGCCTTCTTGCAGCTGACCTTTTGGCTGCCGATGAACGAATCCACAGTAACAGCGATGGCACGGTCAATATCCAGCGAGGAGCAGTACTCTGACAGGCGCATCTTGCAGAAAGCTTCAGCGATACGCATGATGGCTTCAAGGTGACGAACCTGGAAATATGGAGTAAGAAAATGGTCAATGTATGGTAAGTGGAGAGATCACTTACTGTGATGGGGTACGCTCCAGTAGCAAGGGACTCGCGGCGCATGTCTGCGAAGAGACGGGCAACCTTATCCTGGTCGATCTGATAGAGCTTGGGGTGGCAACGCTCTCGTGCATACATAATGTACTTCCGCAGGAGCTCCTGCGGGATCTCGCCCTCCTTCTCCTCTTCGGCTTTTTGCTTCTCTGCCGCGCGTTTGGCGATCTCCTCCTGTGACGGAGGAAGTCTCTGGCCATCTCTGTTAATGCGGTAGCCCTCGTTATCAATGAGATGGCCGTCAGTATCAACCAAGTCGCCCTTTTCGTTCCGGAGAGGACGGGCTGGGTTAGAACGGTGATGTGACTCGATCACGAAATTGGCCAGGCGCTCATCTTCTGCAGGATCAACCAGGTCACGCACCACACAGAGAATATCGAAACGAGACAAGATAGGGTCCGTCAAGTCGACATTCTCCGAGAAGGGGATCGAGCTGTTGTACCGACCACCCTTGGGGTTCGCGGCGGACACGACAGCACAACGAGCCTGCAAAGTCGTCACGATACCGGCCTTAGAAATGGAAATGGTTTGCTGTTCCATGGCTTCGTGAATAGATGTCCGATCCTGGTCATTCATTTTGTCAAACTCATCGATAAGACAAGTACCGCGATCAGCCAACACAAGCGCACCACCTTCCAACGTCCACTCGCTGGTGAGAGGATCGCGGCGAACACTGGCCGTAAGACCGACGGCACTAGCACCCTGACCAGTAGCAAACACGGCACGGTGGGCGGTCTTCTCAACGAACTTGAGCACCTGAGACTTGGCCGTACCGGGGTCACCCAGAAGAAGGACGTTGATATCACCACGAATGTTCATCTTGCCCTGGGCCTGCTTGCTAACACCACCAAAGAGCGAAAGCGCAACAGCAGTCTTGACGTCCTGGTGGCCGTAAATACTGGGTGCCATAGAGCGAACAATTTTGTCCACAATATCGGGGTCACGGGAGAGGGCACGAATTTCGCGCTCATCCTCTTCTGTCAAGTTGAAACCAGCCAGCTGGTCATGTGCCTTGACCACATGGTTGGCCTCAATTACAGTGGCGAAAACCGGGAAGCCGTTTTTGTTGTTCAGTTGGGCATCGTAGCTGTTGCGGTAGACGCCGGTGATCTCAATCTCATCACCGGGTTTGGCACTGTCGATCAGATCGGCAAGCAAAACGACCTCACGCTGCCGTGGCAGACGACCTGCGGGAACCGAGCCGGGCGACTCCTGCAAAGTCAACTTCTGGTAGTTGCGGTAGACTGTTTTTTCAGAATTGACAGTGAAGGGACCACGCGACTGGCAGTTCTGACAGAACGAGATCTTCACCTCTGCACTAGCTTCTTGCTGGAATGGACCCAGGGTGATACCGCACTTCTGGCAGAGGAACATGACATATTTCAACTGCGGGAAGACACCAGTTCGACGGGTAACGACACCACCAACACGAATCAGGCAGTTTAGATGCGACTGGCGCAGCTGGCGCAGGGTGTAAATGATTGGCACATCGGTGATGCGGACGTGGATCTCGTTGTGAATATCGTGATACTGTGGGTAGTGGAATAGAGTAACGTCGAGTGCAACCTGATCGAATACCTTCAGGACTTCGGTGGGTTCGTTGGCGAGGAAGTACGAGAGAGCTGCCTTGGTCTCACTGAGGTGGGCGTAGGACACTTCAAGTGAAGCAGAGTTCACCTCACCTAGTGTCTTGATTCGGTTACCGTAAACAGACTGGCCGGTGGGGTCAATGAACTCTGTCAGGAAAGCCTTGAATTCACGGTAGATTGAGCGAAGGACCTGGGGCTGGGTCACCCAGTCCGTGATGTTGGCTGCCTTCACATCTGCCAGTTCCTCCAATGACAGCTCTTCCATGCCCTCATCAGCCATGTCAATATCTTCACGGTCCTCGTCATAATGGTGTCTGTGTCGTCGGGGTTGGCGCGAGAGGTCCAATTCCATATCGTCATCATCTTGTAAAAAGGCGGCAGGCATGCGGCGTCGACGTGCTAGTTCACGATCTCTCTGGTTCAGGCGAGCATCAAGCTGCCGACGAGTTGCGGCATCGATTTCATCATGGTCTTCATCATCATCGATGTATCCTTCATTTTCATAGCGATCTTGCGCCGCATCGCGATAATCACGCTCGAAGTTGTCACCGAACAAGTCAATGCCGTCCTCGTCTTCAGCCAATTCATCAATGTCATCAATATCTTGCACGAGACCTCTATCCTCGTCCTCATCTTCGTCTCCCATGTCGAAGGGGATCGGGGGAGGGGACGAGCCCAAAGCAGTGGCTGCACATGAACATTGTCAGTCTTGAATTGACGCAGCCGGACAAAGAAGCAGACATACGACTGGAAGGAGGCAATGGCGCCGGCGAGGACATGTCATCCTCTCTGTCTCTCTTACGGGTGTTGGCCCCTCGGCCACGGTTTGCGGCCGACTCGCTGGCTCGGAGCGGACTGTACCGTATTAGCTTTTGAGCGCAGAAAATTCAGGAGGCACACTCACTCCATTGCGTGTGTGTTTGAAGTAGCAAATTTCAAAGAAAAAAAAAATGAGCAATGGCCAGTAGACTATGAGTATGAATAAGTGATGCGTATATTCCGGGGGTCTTTCCTCGAATGTGTGTGTGTGTGGTAACGTGGTTGATAGAATGAAGGGAGGGAGAAGGGACAGCAAAGTCGAGTTGTGCCGCGAGTCGCGTGTTGGACGCGACGCGTTTCAATTAAGCACCAATTGGGAAGGTGGGCCTTCCACGGTTTGCTATATTGACACAATCAACACCTTTCTGTTTTCTTTTCAATGACTTTTGACAAAGAACAAAGAGCAAAATAAAATAATAACAAACAACTATATTGAAATTGAAGTTGCTAAAAAGAACTTTGAAAGTTGCCAAAAAATCAGTGATCGACGCAGGGATCGAACCTGCGACCTTCTGTGAAGCTCCAACATATGGAATGTAAGACAGACGCCTTAACCACTTGGCCAGTCGATCATTGTGGTGAAAGCCTGTTCATGGTTAAGCTCCGTGTGGCAGGACTTATATCGATTTCGGCCAGGACCGATCAGGGTGCGGCTGCTTCATGAGGGCACTTGACTTCCTGCTCAATTCGACTTAGCCGCCTTGCTACTGAAATATAGCGGCGACTGCATCAGGTGGACGTATCCGCAGACGCTAGACAGCCAGACCAAGTTTCCGTCGAAGTTCATTTCGGCATCAGGGTGGTAGAACCACTAGTTGAGAGCGATCTGCGCCAGCCGAATGGGCCCCATGAGGTTCCCAGCGTAGGTACTATATACTCCTGGGTTGCAATCCGCATTGTCTTGAGCCAACGGCGACACGCCGGGGGGGGGGGGTGGGGGAAGGGGTGCCGGAAGGTGCTGGACGGTGGCTCGTAGATGCCGGCGCCGTTGACCACGATGTTGACAGTACCGTATGTCTCGAGCGCCTTGTCGAACGGTGCTTGCAGCTTGCAGCTGTTCCCAATCTAATATACCAGTCTTCTGGAATATGGCTGAGGCTTTCCCGTTGGCCCCGGTCACGGCGTGGCTTCTTCCAACGTGCGCTCTGCCTCGGGTTGCAGAGTGAGGTCGGCCATGACGACCGAACAGCCCTGTTGCAGCAGAATCCTGGTCAGGGAGTGACTGATACCAGATCCAGAGCCTGTGATAATGGCAACCTTGCCATTGACACTGTAGGCCGTGGGCGGGTGGTCTTGTGTTGGTACTTTGTTCATTGGAGAGAGCACGAGAGGCGATTACTGGCCGGAGAAGTGAGAACCACTTTGAGGAATCCTGGTTTATCGTCTGCTTTTCTTTTCTTATTTCAGCAAGCAAGATGATTCTACTGATGAATACACACACGCTCTTCTATTTGTTCTTGTCTGACATCCCAAGGCGATCGAGTAAGAGGGAAACAAGGGACAGCCTTCTTCTACCGGATATCAAGGTACCGGTCGCCTTCAGTTCGTGGGATTCAGATCCTTCGCGCCAGTTATCAGCGGGAAACAATATGAAATGTGCTCCAATTCTCAGTTTCCAGCACATTCGATTTGACCTCCGAGACTAGTCGGGGATCATGAACTATTTCAATGGGTGGTTGTACAGTGACTGGTCCGATAGGTGGGATGTTTGAGAAGACAGCGAAGTGGCTCTCCCATCGCGCGCCTCGTCCCGCGGTCTTGCAGTAGATTCAGTCCACCAGCTTGCGTCTGTGGAACACAACCTCACCCCCTTCAGGCTGCACGAATCCTCCGACAGAAGCCTCCGACAGAACCCCTCCGACGACGGACGACCCGGGATGGCCCAACCAGGAACCGTGAACTGATCCCCGACCGACATGCTGAGAGTGATATGCAATTCACGGTTCTGGATGCTATGATATGCTGTGCTGCCATGAAATGATCTTCAGCCGACCACAGAGATAGCTCATGGCCCTCAACTTTATTCGTCACAAACAGAATTAACAATCGAGAAGGCAAGGTTTAGCTACATTCATTCTGCAGCTATCATGAGTCAATCACCAGAAACTCTTCAGGAAACTGAACAAATCCGTCAAAAATACGCGG